GGGATACACTGTGGCTTAGTGGCTTCTGGTGTAGACTGTGGAAACACATCATCCAGGTTTGATTCCTAGCTTCAGTGATTTCTAGCTTTATGATCTTGCTCAAGTGATTTAACCTCTCTATTCCCTCAGCTATAAAAATGGGGATTATAAGGGCCAACAGGTAGCATATTAGTTAAGGTACTGGACTCCCACATGACCGACCATGGTTTTTGAGTCCCAGACCTGGTGGCTTGAACATCATACCAGACACATGTGTGCAGGCCCAAAATCTCAGGAGGGCAGTGGAGGAGAAGGGATTGTAGCATGGCTATACCCCTGGGTGTGTGTGTGTGGGGGTGACTTCTCACTTTCCTTCTCACTGTCTCTTTCTGGCAAGCCCATGCGAAAAAGACATTAAAAATTACATATTTAGGGGCCAGCGGGCCGTATGTTGGTCAAGGCACTGGACTCCCACATGGCCAGCTGTGGTTCGAGTCCCAGATCTGGTGGCTTGCTTTCTCACTTTCCCTCTTTCTCTCTCTGTGTCTCTCTCTGGTTAAATTAAAATAATAATAATAAATAAGATAAAATAAGTAACTCTTTAAAAAGTACATATATATTGGAGCCAGCAGGTGGTGCCATGGTTAAGGGCTCTAGACTCCCACATGGCCAACCATGGTTTGAGTCCCAGACTTGGTGGCTTGCTTTCTTACTTTTCCTCTTTCTCTCACTCTGTCTCTCTCTGATCAAATAAATAAATAAAGTTAAATAAAATAATTCTTTTTTTAAAAAATGTACATATATGAACCAGCAGATAGCATAATGGCTATGTCGCTGGGTTCCCATGTAGTCGACCACATTTGAGTTCCGGACCTGGTGGCTTAAACTCACGCTGAGTGCATGTGCGTGCGTGCCCAAGATCCCGAGAGGAGAATGGAGGAGAAGAGATTGCACCGTGGCCATCCCCCCTAAGGGGTGATTTGTCACTTTCTGTCTCTCTGTCTCTCTCTGTCTTTCTGGCGGGAACACTCGCCCTATAACAAAAACCACTCAAAAAAAAAAAAAAAGGTACATATATATAAAATAAAGTAAAATGGGGATGAAATAGCACCTGGAATTTGCTTCAAGATAATTCAGAAGTAGGTCCTGGCCTGTTCAGGGAAGCTATGCTCTAAACACCATCTTCTAGACTCCTGAAATATTCAGACAAGCACAGTGGAGGAGAGATTTTGTCACAGAATGACTAGAAACCACCACAGAGGTACAAGAAACAAGAGAAACTGAGAAAATCTCTCTCCCTTAAGGGAAAAGAACAATCCCTCATCATCCACAGACAGTACAGTGGAACTCGTAGAAGTATCTGATAGAGAATTCAGAATATTCATAGTGACAAAACTAAATGAGACGCAAGAACTGAGAGACAATGAACTCCGGAAGATGCAGGAGAAAAGAGACAACGAGTTCCAGGAGGTGTTGAAGTTCTTCCAAGATCTGAAAGAGGAAATGCACACCATGAAAAGAATCAAATGGAGCTGTTAGAGATGAAGGCTGCCATTCAGGAAATCAAAACCTCCCTCGAAAGTATTAAAAGCAGATTAGTCCATGCAGAAAATCGAATCTCGGATGTTGAAGGCAAAATGTCTGATCTAGAAAAAACAAGCAAACAAATGGAGAAAATATCCAAAAAGTAGAGAATACTATACAAGAAATACTAGACAGCATTAAGTGCCCAAACATCTGGATAATCAATATCCCAGAAGGTGAGGAAACCAATAAGATCATTGATAATCTATTCCATGAAATCTTGGAAGAAAA